CTAACCATGGGTTTAGTCATTCATTCTAACCCCATGTCGTTCGTGCAGTGTACCCTTTTGGGGGGGTTGTTGGATTTCCCTCAACCGAATATTGCATCCATAAATCTGCACCCGGTTTGAGGTTTGAGCGACATGGCTGTAAAGGAGTATGTGGGCTCTTGTTTTGAAGGAGTTGGTGCCCTTGTTTGTGGGCTTTGAGGGAAATCAAAAACATTCCACCATTGGGCCCCCTGAAAAAGTCCCCCCCCCATTTCTTGGAGTTGAACAAGTTGGAGTTTCAACCGGTTGGACTGATCAGTTGGCCACATACAACTCCCCCTTTTGTTGCTACCCGTGTCCACCCATCGAAATTAGGGTTCCTGCTGTGGATGGACAGAATACATTTCGCACCACTTGGAAACCATGGTTGAAGCCAGAAGGTTTCTTGGTATTTGCGTTGCGCAATCGAATCCTTCCAGGGTCTCTATGTCCTCACCATCCGCAGACTTTTGTCACACCCAGACAACTCTCACGGGCGAGGCACCCAGGTCACAGTCATAGGCTGGTGTTGCTTGGCAACCCCTGTGAAGCCGACTGCCTCGGGGCAGGGAGCGGATGTGTGTGGTGTGTACCCTCGAAATTCCAACTGATTTTTATTTTTTTTAAATGGGGTGGAATCGCTTCTTTACGGGTACTTTGAGGCTGAAAGGAAACTGACCATTGTTGGTGTCCCCTATTAAAAGAGACACCCATACGTTACTGAGTTGTTGCTGAGTTTTTCTAGACCCCCTACTCATAGGAGCCCAGGATTCAGCAAGGCGCTTCGTGGATGTTGATTGAAGTGGTTCCTTTAAGAGAGAATCCCGCACTTCTTGGACACCCTTGGTGTGTGTGTGTGTGTGTTTGTTTGTCTCAAATTGTTGCAACCCGCTGGAGCGGAGCCGAACCGGCGTTTTGATGATTGATGTCATGGTTTCAGTACATTTTGGGACTCCCATTTTGTCATGAATATGTTCAGTACATTTCAGTACATGATTGATGTCATGATTTTCTTTTGGGATTCCCATTTTGCATGTACAATTTACTGACATGTTTGTATGACACATTTACGAGTTCGGCGACATGTAGAACTCAGGGGGTGCCGAAAATCGCGAAAAACGGCGCTTAAACACAAACAGAAGTAAGTACATCAAACAAACTCGTAAATTGTGCATGCAATGTACTCTGCTTTACGATTAATTTGCGATTGCGGCACTATCATGTTTCTGCAACGTTGCTTGTTGTTACGACTTCCGGGACTCACCAATGTCCTCTTCCGAGAACCCCCAAGATAGGTTGCGAGAAGCAAAAAGGTGAGAATAAAAAGAGCTAAAACCACAAATGCCAATCAAATCATACCCAAATCGTCAAACAAAAACAGAGCCTCCCTTGACTTAGCCTTCAGTGTAGGTCACAAACGTGGTGGCAGAAGTTGGTGCGATAAAGCCTCAAAGCACTTCACCACCCTTACAGGTCAAAAGAAAGAAAAGAAAGGAAGCCCAACAGAAAACAGCTTAAAGCTTGATCAAGCCTGGCAATGATTCGAGATCCATTCCTGCAGGCCCTTGACTTCAAAACAACTGGAGAACCTTTCAGAGCAACCTGCAAGATACTCGACAACTTGACCTTGCTGACAACGCTTCCCGTGTTGCCCTCTTTCCAACAAGGGAAATAAAGGGGTTCCTTCCAAAACTGTCAACTTGCTTCCATGATTGGAGTTAGGCTAGGTGGGAGTGTCTGAAGGGAAATCGGAATCCAACTTCACAGGGGGAAGCTTGGCATGCCTCCGCTTTGCCCAAAACGCCGGCTGGAGGCTGAAATCTCTCGAGCCACTGGTTGCAACCCCGTTGGCTGCATGGATTGATCACACGGTGACATATATAGATATAATTATATATATATATATATATATAAACCTGAAGAGCCACATCACATCGCGAAAGCAACTTGCTCCATGTCCAACCCTATTGAAGCCGAATCGTTCTATAAACTCACAGATGGAAGACATCTGTCGCAGTCCCAAGACAATTTGATGCAAGCCTGTTGGAATTCTCCAAAGGGGTGACTCACGCGGGGGGCTGAAACGCCCAACCTGGGAGAAGGTTCGCTGCCTCGAACCATGGATGGGTACAACTGGACAAGATGGCACCAGTGGGCGGTATGTTGGGAGTAACATAAGGGGCCAAACAAGGTCAACCTGTTTTATTGAACATTTTACGACCATGACGATTTATGGTAACTGCCCCAGAAAACCCCCTTGAAAATCTAGGCCCTAAATAATACTCTTGTGCGCCTGAGACCAAAGGCGTTGGGGCTCGAAAAACTCTGAGCCCCTGGCAGCACCACGCCTCGCGGAAATCCAAACTTGTTGTCCCACGAAACTGGGCCGCCCGTTTTCTGATCCCCCGCTAAAAGCGAATAACTGTTCGCGGGTTAAATGGAAACTACCACTAAGCACTAAACGGCTAAAAAGCTAAGGGGATGGCTGGGAGCCACCAAGAAAAATGGTCTTCGCAGAAAGTATGAAGTCCAGGAACACAGGAAGTGAGAGTGAGCCATAGCGTGGATGGACGAAATGATGCACCATGAGTCCATGTGAAACCATAAGGGTTGATGGTATTTACAAGGGAATCATCAGAAAACTTCGTAGGTGCTGCAAAATGGATTTCGTCCATCCACTGTAGTCAACTACCTGGTACAACAAGAGTGCGCCTTTTTGAGGGGCCCCCGTAAAATACGGGTGTGCGTTTTTCTTGAAACCGCCAAAAACGGGGGTAGAACGTGGGGCAGAAAAGGGGCTTAGAGGTGATCCAAGAGATGCCAGAAGAAGTCCCTGGCCGATTGGTGACTGAGGCTTGTCAGATCCCCGAGTCCAGGAACCGTCCAACTGTTGACTGCTGGATGGTTGCGAAATCCGCGAGTCTCGCACCGCAAAATGAACCATGGCTAAAACCATAAGGTTTGTTGGTAAGTCATCAGAAACCAAGGTTGCGAAGGTAGTGCGAAATGGATGTCGTCCATCCACAGTATGAAGTCAACATGATGAGTCACAGGGCCCTGAGAAAGGACTCCTCACGGGGCGATGGTTCTGCAAACCCTGTTGTTTTTGGGGGAGAGAGGGCGCGTTTGTTTGCCCAACCCCCAGTCTTCCCAAATAAAACGTCAAACATATCACGTCTTGACACCTGGGGCCTCAGGGTTCCGTATCTAACATGAATCCGCACCCACAAAGGCAAGAGTTCGGCCAATGGGCTTGTTGTTTTCCCTGCGTTGCGACCCAAGAAAGGGCTGGCTTTTTGGGATGGGCGGCCCCGCAAGAAGGCACACGCACAAAGCACGCCTCGCCTTTTTCCCGAGCCTTCAGTGCAGAGGCTGGGCTAAAGTGCCCCAGTCACTGTCAGAAGCACTTTGGAACACACAAAGGCCCCACCACCTAAATCAGCCAGAAAGTTGTTAGGAGCTACTGCTCCCAGTTGTTTGCTTGCTCTGTCAAATGATGATGATCTGGGTAGCTCGTGTTTCTTGAGCTGGTACCAAATTTCAAGACACCCCCCCCCCATTTCTTTGGAGTTTGATGCTTTGGGTGTTTCTGCTTGGACTGATAAATTGGCCGACAACTCACCCTTTTGTTGAAAACGAGTTGCCCCTGGTGAGAAAGAGGCGAATCAATTGAACAAAATGCAGGACAGCAACCACTTCGACCACACTGGTTTCACTCAGTATAGGCATGTATCCAAACCAAGGATTTTTCTGAGGCCTCGGGTGACGTTTTGCCACCAGCCCTTTGGGCGAATGAAGAGGTCAACGGTACAAAAAAGAGCTGGCAACAAATGAACATAAGAGAAGCAAAGGTCGGCTGGCGGTTTTTGAGCCACTATGGCCCCCAAAGGTGATGTGTAATCCGGCTGACAACGGAAACATCTTGTCCACAGGTTTCCTCAAATCGTGGGATGGAAGGATTGAAAAGGCCCCTGGAAAAACTTGTCCGGAATCCTCAGCGAAAAAATAGAAGTATTTAAATTACAGAAGGAGTAGTCATAGATTGCCTTTAAACCAACATAGACAAAAGCACATACTCTTGCAGAAAATGCAGGCCGCCCCTTTCGGGGGCCAAAAGCCGCGGATGCGCCTTCTTGTCCGAGGACCACTTCTCCTCCCACGCGGCGAACCCGGCGTCGCAGTCGTAGCGCACCTCCGTGGAGAGGAAGGCGGAAGCGATACGTCAAAACGGAGGGAAAAGGGTCGGGAACTGGACCGGACTTTTGCTTCGGTCCGTTTTTCGGCTCCGCTAAAAGTGAGCTGAACTTGTCTAACCTTTCAGTGGGTTACGAGGCAACACTGAACACGAAACACTGCAAAGCTCACAAGCTACGGAACCCGGCTGGCTGGGCGCCAAGTTGGCAAGTTGGGTGGCCATCCCCATGAGGTGAACTTCCTGGATGGATTGTTTGAATAGGAAGCCAACCACCTGGAGGCTGCACGTGTGAAGCCAGTCCCTACCTCAACCAAAATCAAAGGCTCAAAGTCCTCTACGCGAGACAGAAACGGTGGAACCGAATTGGCGTTTGGCTCATCGGGCGGGAACTTGATTGATTCACTGGGAGTTCTGGAGTGTGCTGAAGGTACAAGCCAGTCCAAGCCGCTCACATGCTGCTCGGGTATCCTTGTTCACATCTACAGAACTCACCTTCCCACTCCCTCTATGTCAGCTGGAAACTCTTTCCAGACACCCTTCAAGTGAACAAGACCAAAGAACCAGGAACCCCGTTTCACTGGTTTGAAGGGCCGAAGTAAGCCAACTGCCGAGAACCTTGATTGTGTTCTGGTGCTCCATGCTTTGAACATCTCACCAAACGTGGTAGAACAGGTAAGGTCGAACTATACAAAAGGGGCGCGTCTTCTTGTCCCTTGAGATCATTCTATGAGGTTTAAAGTCAATTGCAAGAAGTTACCCGATTAGTATGGTTCTTGGACTAATCAGCTGAAGCTCCGATCTCTGCTGTTGATGAGGAAGAAGGGAGGGGTGGACAAATGGAAGCCCAAGGGAATAGTTGGGTTGTTTGAGGCGTCCAAAAGGCACCTTTGCCTGGGGAAAGCCCATGCTATCTGCCTGAGCCCCCAATTCAATAGGCAGCACACAGATGGTGTCTCAAATTGGTGGACCCACCTGGGTGGCTTTTCTTTTGGGTGTTCTTTGAACACCAAGCAAAGGACGATGTTCATACCATAAGCACAGAAATCTGCAAAACGGTATTAACATGGTCTGCCCAAAACCAGGGTGGAACAAGGCCGGAGCTTTTTTTGACTGGGACTGTCCCTACCCTGGATCTCACATCAGGAAAGTAGCTTACACGCATGGTCGGCATGGTTTTTTCACTGGGACAACTGGAGGATCGTCCCATGGTCGCAGCCTACTGGCACGGATTGCACACACACACACACACAAATCTCTAGCGGTACTTTCTCCATTCGTTCCGAAAATATTACTAAAAGAAAACACTACTGTTTAACCTTTTAAAGCAACTGGACCATCCAAGTACGCACAGGCGTGGCATTTTTGAGGGTATCCTTGTTGCTTTTGGAAGGGAATTTAGAGAGGAGCCCACCCATTCGTTTAGTTCCCAAAAAGACAAACCCACTTGGGGCGCCGCTTCGCAAAACAGCGCCGGTTTCCGAGTCCGCCGCCGGATTGGGGCAGGCGACAGCATAGTGCTGGCAGCAGAAGTACCTGAAAGCTGCGGTTTCCTATCACCAGTGGCCACAAGGAAAAACAAGCGGCACCCTTGTGCTAAATGAGGTAACCCCAAATTGGATTGATTGGGAGAATCGAAGCAATCGCAGAGAGCAAACTGGAAACCATTCCCAAACTCCACACCACCAATCTTCGCAGCGATTGTTCAGGGGTTTGCCCCTGCCAAAAAAGAGGAAGAAAGGAAACTGCGCGTGTCTGGGCATGTGAGGTCCCAGGTTCGGAAAACAATGTTACTTCTCCAAGAGTGGGAGAATTTGGATAGTCCCCTGGTTCTTCTGGGGAACTTGGGTGGGCTTCCATGTCCTCCCAGACAAGCAGACCTTCAAGGTCCCCCCCCCCCCCCGGTGAGCTCCGTGTAGAATATGCACACATGCTGTGGATGGGGTCATGCCACGCACCACGAAATGCAAGAACGGTTGTTGGCATTTTACAGGGGAATCGAATCATTCCAGGGCTTCTGAAGTGGCGAAATCGATTTCACAACCATCCGCCGTGTTACGTGCCACGGTGCCAGTTGAGAGGAAGGGCAAGCAATCAGATTCGCGTAATCATATTGGGGCTTGTGGCACCAGACTAGGAAATCCACCCGTGGAATCCCAGATAGAGACAAACCCAGACCCAGCAGCTTCTTTGAACATGTGATTGCAAAAGAAAGACATTGTTGTCCCCTCTGAGCATCAGCCCAGGCAAAAAGAACTCAATCAAAGTTGGCTTAAAGGGTGATGCTTAAACCACAAAAGACAAGATCCCAGAAAAAACACAAACGAAGACGTCTCTGGTACTGTCAATTCTTTGTGCTTGGCCTTTGCACAAACACATAGAAGTGAATCGCGGGAGGTTTGTTTATTTGGCTCTGTCAACTCCCGAAGCTCCAAACATCTCCAAACATCATCCCAAATAGCAATGGCTTCGTTTTGGCGTCCGTTCCAAAAAGCCTCGGTTTCCGCCTACGTAGTGACCCATCCAAGAAACACGGCATGTGAGGTGAACCTGTGAAACTGTTTAAACTCTGCCAGAGGCCTGTCACTCAGGAAGTGAGTATAACCATAGCGGGCCCCAGTTTGTTTCAACCAAATTGACCCCGGAAGACAGCGATGGTCGGCAGTCTCAGCGCACTTCTTGTGATCGCTCCAGCCCTTCTGCCAGTTCGTAACCTAAGCGAGCAAGCAACCAAAAGCGTCTGACCACTTCTCAGTTGATTTCCCAGTTCGGACCCAGAAATGTCCAACTGATCACCTTTTTGGGGCCGACAACTTTGCAACCCAAAAAGGGGAAGGATAGATCCGGCAACCGTTCATGAGGATGTCCTGGGTGCCGGGAGGGTCCTCTTGTCCTATACCTTCATTCGTTGATCCCTTACTCACTTGGAACCTTGGCTGAAATTAGACTTAAAAGGGGACGTCCAAAAGGTCAGAAGGTCGGCTTTGGACACCTGAACTTTTCAGAAAAGCTTCTAGTGGGATCTGTCATCATTCTCTCGAAACTCAAGAAGAGGGAGCAGGGTTGCAGGACCTGGGTTTCAAGCACTGGGGCGCTCTGGCCTCCTTCGGCGGGGGGAGGGGGGGGAGTGCAACGCAAGCGATTCAATCCTTGCCAACCCTGGAGTCTTTTCGCAAACATGAAAGTGGTCAGTACCTTTGCCCCAGCGTTGCACGAGGGAATCTGCCAATGGCAACATTCTCAACGGCCGCCTTGACCTTCCCTCCTTCGCCGCAAAGGTGCCCAACCTTGCCCAACCTTTGGAGGTGAGCTGGACGAGTGCTAATCCAACTTCCTGTGGCCCTAAAAACCTAGTGGGGTGATGATCAATTTACGAAGTGCTTTGAGCCTGGGACCTGTGGCTGTGTGGCCTCCGTGGCCTCTGTGGCGTTGGCCTTTGAACGTCTCAAAAAGCTTGGCTTCAACCTCACCAGTTGAGTCAAAAACCTGCCAACCAGTTGATGCACAGACCGACTGACCCAGAACGGTTCTCGGCCGCCGTTCCCAACACGTCGTGTCTCCGATTCCCAAAGCAGGGCAGTTCGCAAAAGGCATAATTGGGGGGTGTCTTGTTTTGAGGGTACCTCCTTTTGTGGCGATAAAGGAAAACCAAAAGAAAGACCACAAGTTTGAACCCGTCGAAGTCGTCTGCCAGGTCTTGCCCAAATTTCGAGCCCAAACATACAGCCCCGTTCAGGTCCCCCTGCCCCAGCACGGCAGTCGTAGGCCTCTTCGCAGCCTTTGCCCTCAGCAAAGGGAAAAAAAACGGCGCCGAACGCTTGGACGCTGCCAGCAGCATGGAAAAAAACTGTCCAGGTTTAATCCAAAGGTCGTTTCACCCAGACCAGTGGTGAAAATCGGGGGTATTTTGGGACCTAGAGTGTCAAGCAAGGTGTCCATAGGAGTTATGATTGGCAACGAAATATTGTTGGGGCAGAAAGCAGAAGACTCCGGCATCCCTTTCCACACAATTGTTCAGGGTTTGAACTTTGCCTTGCGGAGCCGAAGCAACGTTTTGTTTCCGTCTGGTTTCCCTTTAAACGCTCGGGTGGTATCCCCAACAGGCCCAGAACCTCTCAAACCCTCCGGATCCCTCCCAAGCTGAAGTACCCCAGAGCCTATTTGGGGAAACCCTTTACACACCAGAACCAACCCCAACGCCCAGCTGCCCAAGTCTGTTGGGGAAAAAGAGTATCCTCAAACTTCGGCTTTCTATGGACCCAATCCCCTCCATTGGGACACCCCCGCAGGTGTTTGGGGGTCTCAAAAACTTTCCCTTTGAGGGCGATAAATTGATTGGGGCATTGTACTTTGTACGGTAAGTGGGTGATAACCATGGTTAGAGCAACCACATGGTTAGAGCGCCTCCTAACTGGGCTTTCACCAGGCCTGCTAACCACTTCCCTGCTTTCCCACTTCACCTCGAAAACCAAAATCCACCTCTCACCTCCTGGCCTTCCGTGGAAACTTCCGTCTCGGGGGCCCCGGACCTTGGCTTTGCAGCACCAGGCCCTCTTCGCCGAGCTCCACTCGCCCTGGGAAACGCCGAGCGCGGGGACGGGCAACCCAAGGTGACTAGATCTGAGCAGTCAAATCTGCTGCTTCGGCTCAGATCCGTTCCCCTTATGCCCCAAAAGCCTTTACACACAAAGAGATGCCTCCAAAGGTGTGCCTTACTGGCTTCCCAGTGAATACCAACCCACAAAGAGAACCCTCTACAACCCCAAAAGAAAGACGGGTTCTTGGGGGATTCCCTGAAACAAGTTCGCTGTTTGAGGTTTACAGGATCGACCCTCATGGGTGGAATCGGCTTCTGCACGCATTCGCTTGAAGGGATTGTGTGTGTGTGTTGCACATCAGGGTTACACTCTAGGGAAATGACCCATGGCTCAACATTTCTGGAGAATAACATGCTGTTGCTCCAAGGGGTAATCCAGGGGTAAGTCAGGGTGTACAAACACCCTTGGACGCAGCCCATGTCTGGAATTGCTTTTGGACTCCCCTTTTGGTTTCAAGCCTTTCGCATAAAACTCCTCATGTGAGTCCCTACGTTTTTCACCAGCGTCCTTTGAGTCTGAAGGCGTTTCTCCGCCCCATTTTCTGACAAGAACAGGAACCTTTTCTCAGGTTATCCCTAGTTGGTGGTTTGGATTGGTGGTTTGGGGATGTGAACCCTGGTTCTTGTAGAGGGTAGATGGGAAACCCCTCCTTAACCACCAAACCACCAATCCAAATCACCAATTGGAAGGAAGCTGATTTTCTGACTTTCATCTTCTGACAAGTACCGACTTCCAACGGAACTGGAGGCCTTCCATTTGACTGTCCCATGCCTAAAACTCAGTCGTCGACACGGCAAAGGAGACCGCCGGGCAGAGGGCTCCACATTTCCCGGGCAAAATACAAAAGTTGGTTGTCGCGGCTTTTGTCAACAAAAAACGCCTTGTGTTGTTGTGTATCCAAAAAAAAATCGCCACCTCGTTGTTGCTTCGTTGTATTCGAGAAAAAACAATGGAAAACAAAAATGGTTTCATGACAATCACCAAATTGAAACTCGGGAATCTCCAGAACGGCGAGCTCCTCATGTTGTCTGCAACCCAAACCAAGCGGCTGCGGAACTCTCCGCCTCTGCCCCGGAGCAGTGAAACTCCTCGCCTCCGAAAACGAAGCAGCCCTTGCTCTACAAAACGGCTTGCGGTCAATCTGTGGATCCACCCCTGTAGGATAGCAAAGGAGGACTAAAAGAGTCTTGAAAAAGCAATAAATGTGGTAAAACCACGGGGGGAATCCACAGAAAACACATCAGAAAACGCATCCTATCCGTTTTCTGGACTTGCAGCAACAGGGTTCCCCTCTTTCTCCCCGTTGCATATCACCCCTTGGCCCAAAAAGTGGAAACTAAGGAATCCTGAGCAACCTCGTTTGTTGACCCAAGGCCTGGCTGGGTTCCAAAATAGACAGGGGAAAGGCACCCCAGGATTGGCGATCCAACTCGACATGGAGAACTTGACGAGATCCTGTTGTGGTCTAGCTCGAAGCAAAGATCAAGTAGGAGTACCCTTGGGGTGGTTTACAAGAAAACGGGGGGGAGGGGAAGAAGAAGCCAATGTTGGTGTTCAAAATCCCCAATTTCGACGCATACCCAAAGTTCCCTACGAAATTCGCAACGCAGTGCCCGGGCAGACCCGAAAGGCGCAACGCCTTGGCCCTAGTTTCCCTGTTTTCACATCTCGGGAAACCCACTTTTCAACTGTTCAAGTGAATCTGAAAGATGGAAAGTGGCCGAAGCACGGGTCAGAAATCAGACATCTCTTTAGGACGTGCGTAACTTCACAACTGAGCAGCGCCGCTCTTCTGAACTCATGAAGGACCTGGGAACCCACAGCGGGTCTTTTCAATGGGATGATAAACCCGGTCCATGTCAGGACTCCTTACACCCCAATGAACACAGAACTGCAAAACCCCCATTTGGGGGAACTC